CCAGATCCAAAAGTTATTTCTATGTCCCCCTCTTGCTTTACCATTTAGTATCATTTTCTACCAGTGGTGGACTGTATAGCAAGACCTTGTCTCAAAAAACTGAAAAAAGAAAATAGCTCTTCTGCTAGTCTCATTTCTGCAACACCTACACTGGCCTCTTAAAGTAGATTTTTGCCTTGCCTTGCTTAAAACCTCGCTCTCTTTCCTTGTTATCCTAAAAATAAAATCCAGATTCCCATAGCATAACTTGGAAGGTTCCTCAGCATCTTACCTCTTGTCACCTCTGTGATCCCACCACTACTTCCCTTCCATACACTCCTCCATACTTGATTTTTTAAAAAAATAAGCCTTTACTGTCTTCAGAATCTGTATTTTTTTTTCTGTGTCCTCTCCCAGATATCTGCATGGCTAGCATCCTGGTGGTTTCTTAGCAGTGTCTTCCCAGATCATTATAGCTGAAATGTACTATCTCTGCAGCAGTGTCTCGTTATTTTGCCTATTTCTTTTTTCCTAGGACATATCATTGAGATACTAGATGTTTGCTTGGTAGGCTATATTGTCTCTTTCCTCATTTCAAAATTAAGTTTGGTAAGTGCTGATGTTCTGTTCTCTTCCTTCAAAATATTTAACTTTTGGTAGGTGGTCATTTAAGTATTTTTTGAATGAATAAATGAAGACTAGTTCTTTTCTGAGAATTTTGTTAAGTGAATATTAGTTTGAAATCAGGCATTATTTTTATGTGTTGATAAAAACTTGGGTATTTATTAGGTATTTATTACTCTTATTTTTATTAGATTTTGTGAGCTATTCCTCTGTATTTTGTGATACCAAGGAATTGCCTCCTAATGCAAAAATATTTTTAGTAACTGTAAAGCTCTTCAGAAAGGCATTGATAAGACTATCACTGGTGGCAACCTATTTTTGTATAGCCTGCAGGCTAGGAATGGTCTTTACATTTTTAAAAGATTACAAAAAAACGAGGTGTGTGTGTGTGTGTGTGAGAGAGAGAGAGAGAGAGAGAGAGAGAGAGAGAGAGAGAGAATGAATGACAGACAGACTATGTAAAATATTCTCTGGCCCTTTACAAAAATACCTGCTACTGCTTGCTAGAGGATTTGGCCCATCATTACTTGTCTACTCTCCTGTGCCAGTACCGTGCTTCTCAATTTAGTTAGTCACATCAACTTCCTCTCTTTTCTTCATCAAATCAGGACCACTCAGATCTTTGCATTTACTCTTTCTTCCATGTAGACTACTCTTCCATTTGTGCATGGCTGTGATTTACTCCCTCTCCACCCCTTCCTATCTTTGCTTAGTGTTCCTTCACAATGTGGCCTTTTCTGAGCACATTATTTAAAGTTGCAGTCCAACCACTCATGCCTATACTCTCTTTATTTCTAATTTTTTTCTTTTGGACTTAGCCCCATCTACCTACTGTGGCTTTTTACTTATGGTCTTTGTCTTTCCAGTAGACAGTCAACTCAGTGAAGGCTGAGCATTTTTTGTCTGTTTCCTTTTCACTACTCTGTCTCCAAAAATAGTATGTGATCATAGAAACTTTGATTAGATTAAAGTCATTGTGAGAATCAACATTTTAAAAATAGCTTCTTTCAGAATACTTCTGTAAATGTTGACTAACTGCTATAAGCTATGCTTTGCCCCCATTGTGTGAAATATGAAGTAAGATCCTCATCCTCAAGGAGGTCAGTGTGGTAGTAAGAATAAATATGGAACTAAGGGGAAATTCAGTATAAGACGAGACTATCTGTCATGCAGTTCCCTTGTGGATTAAAGAAAAGTTGAATTGATAATATAAAGTATTTTGAAGTAAAACGTTTTTAAAAATCTTACATAATTCTGTATTTGTTATTTTCTTTCCTTTACAGTACGGCTAATTTCTTTAGATCGTTAGTGATACAGTTCCACATAAATCATTATTTCAAGTGAAATTGTCAAAATATTTTAATTAGACACTAAGTCACAAAAGTATTATTTTTAGTTCCTTGGGTACTTTTTTTGGTTGTTGTAATATGGAATTCTTTTTCTTTCTTTTTTTTTTTTTTTGGTACTGGGGATCAAACTCGGGTCCTTGCACTTGCAAGGCAGGTGGCGGCATCACTGAGCTAAACCCCAGCCCTTGAAATTCTTATTTTTAAGCAAAGTTTAGATATTTAGGGCCAAGTGTCTTTTTCCATTAAAAATAGCTGAGTCAAACA